GACGGCGACGCCGCGCCGCTCTGCGCACGCGCCGCCCGCCGCCAGCCCCGCCCCGGGAGGCGGGAGCGCACTGCAACGGCTCCGCCCACGGGCAGCCGAGCTCCGACCCTGGGAATCCTAGCCCTGCCCCCGGAAGAGCCAAGTCCCCCACCAGTGAGAGCCCGCCTGATCCGCCCCGCACCCGCGGACCTTCGAGGCGCCGGCCAGGTGGGCCCTAGGAGACCCCTCGTAGGGGGTGGCCTGGCCGCCCTGCTGCCGGGAGATTCTGGGGTCCAGGCGCTTCTGTTCCCCCTGTGGACAGAGGCCGGCCCCAGGCCCCGCGCCCCCTCTTCCCGCCTGTGGGCATACACCGGGCTCCCAGCCTGCGGCCCAGACCCAGAGGTGCACGTACTGCAGACACTGGGAAAAGGAGCCGTCTCCCACACAGCGCAACGAGGCTTCGTCATCGCTGGGAACCCGGGCGCATTCTCACACTTACCCTTCGGTGTCGTAGCCGCAGCAAAAGAGCCGGATGCCCCGTGTGAGGATCGAACTCACGACCTTCAGATTATGAGACTGACGCGCTACCTACTGCGCTAACGAGGCTCCCGAGTGGCTGACGCCGCCAAGCGGCCTTTGCATACACTCACTACCGTCAAGACGGGACTGGGAAGGAACTAAGCCGAAGGCAGCTGATTCTGGTTCCTTAAGGTTTCATTTACAAAGCAGAAATTCTTGTGCTTCTTTCCCAATGAGTTAAAAAGACTGCAAGATTTTATAGTACTCCAAACTACACTAAAACCAACTGACACCTAAACTGCACCTGTTTAGCCTTTCGATTTAGCTAAAACTGACATTCAAAAATTTTTGCCCTTATGACAGTGAAAGAGGGAAATCATGCTAGTGATGGCATTGTGGATCTTTGGTTCAAAGCACGACTTGCCCTCAGCTCTGTAGTCGTCTTGTGAGGTTCTGCCCTATTTACCTGTTTAAGATGTGTGTGTTCTAAAAGGTGCGGTACCACTGTAGAAGACATGGAAAGTCCTCAGTTCCTGGCCATGGCTTCATCTTAACTGGCTCTCGATTTAGTATTTCTCTTCCCATTTTTTAAGAGAAGATGGAGAGATTGTTTTTATGTGAGCTTGCTTATTATTATTATTATGATCTGCCACAAATAAAGCAGTTTCTTTATTTGCAGCAAAACATAATACCTACACCAAGCAGTAGTTGGGAAGATCAAATAAGATACTACAAGAAAGTCACTTGCAACATGTATATACTAAATATATTCCTTTCACTTCAATACACTTGATTTATTTCTTCAACTCATTCTGAAATCAAAATATTTTTGCTAATATATGTACAGAGTGTCTCTGGAAGGGTACACAAGAAACTTATTATTTCTAGAGAGGAAAACTGAAGTGGTGAGCAGAATTTTCACTGTATATCCTTTTGACCTTTTTGTTCTATGTGGATATATTATTGTTTTTTTCCTTTTGGGGGGGAGGGGAACTCTGGCATTAGCCAGGAGTATTCATGTCGATTTTGTATTTTTCAATTTTTTTATTGTGGTGACGTATATATAAGAAAACATTTGCCATTTTAACCATTTCACAATGAAAAAATTTGGAAAGGGATAATATTGGTGGCTGCACAGCATGGTGAATTAATGTCACTGAATTGTACACGTTATCTATTTTTAAATTAATAAAATTAAAAATTTTAGTGGTATAGCCTTAAAAGACTTGCCCTGGGCAACTGCCTTTCTCATCATAAAGTATTATAATCCATAGAATTGGAGACTGGCCCAGGGTATGGAATGATCGCAGAAACTGGCTCTACAACTGGGGTCTACCCAAGCCCTTTTGGTCAAGACTTACTTCAACAACCTGTAGGGCTGAAGGAGTTGCTCTCAGTCAAAACTAAACCTAAGAATCCACTGGCCGCCCCACTATTTCTAGGGAAGTGTCAATTCTTGCTAATCAAATAGAAAATTATGTAGACCCTATCAGTTCCTTAGAAACAAGGATAGCGAGACTTTGTCTCACTTACTTTGGACATGTTATCAGGAAGGACCAGTTCCCAGACATAGACATCATGCTTGGTAAAGTAGAGGGTCAATGAAAAAGAGAAAGACCCTCAATGAGATGGATTTACATAGTGACTGCAACAGTGGGCTCAAGCATGGCAAGCATTGTGAGGATAGTGCAGGTCCTGGCAGTGTTTCACTCTATTGTAACTTGGGGACAGTATGAGTCAGAACTGACTCAACGGCACCTAACAACAACAACAACATCAGTTCCTTGGGCCAAACCTCCACAGATTCCTCACTAATCACTACCACCTCCTCAAGGAGGTCTAGGAATAGAAGACAGGATTGTCTACCCTGGTGCATAGAACCCAGCAAATGGTAAAGTGAATCTTCTGACAAAAACAACAATACAAGTACACCTTAGCTCAAGTCTTCATCATCCCATGTCCACACAATGGAAAAACAAGACCTAATTGATCTTTCTGCATCTAGACTCAATGTTTTCAGTCCATCCTCCAAACTATTGTCAGAACTCTCTTCCTTTAAATAATAATAAACAAAAAGTAAACTCATCATGCTACTCATTTATTTAAAAGTGTTCAATGGCCCCCTTTTGATTCCTTATTGGGACACAAAGTAACTCACAATGTGGTCCCAATCTCCCATTCTGGCTTCATCTTCTGTCTCAACACACGCCACTAAGCTGGAGTCATCCAATACCTTAGCCTTTCCAAAACTCTCCAGGCCTTTTCACATCTCTGTGACTTTGCTCAAGCTATTTCCTCTGCCAGGAAGACCATTCTCCCAATCTGTGCCTTAAACAATCAATACTCCTTCCTCCCTGTCCCCAAATGCCCCTCCCTTCTCAGAAGCTTCCTGACATTTTCCCCATTCAGAGGATGGTCCTTTTATTTTGAACAACATTGTCATAAGTTTATTATGAACACGTGTTTCCTTTTGTACCAGCCTCACGAGATGTATCCCTGGTCACATGATGTGCTAACATATATCATGTAATCAATGAATATTTCTGACTGTTTGTTGAATGAAAAAGAACAAACAAATAAACTGGCTAAAAGGATGAAAAATAAGGAACAAGAACTAGAGGGATTTAGAGAAGACTGGTGGACTATCAACCAAAGTGAGTCAAGTGAGAAAGGATCTATGCAAGCAGAAAGGCATCAACAATTTAAGAAATATTTACAGAATGCCTGACTAGACTATGTGCTATGTTCGGCAGGGATCCATAGATTCTAAAGTATAGTCCTTGCCACTTTTGCATTTCAGTGTATTTATTTATTTCTTAAATCTATCTACCCTCTACTATGTATCAGGCTCTACACTAGGAGCTGGGTATAAATAGATAAATAAAACATAAATTTTTTTTCCATAGAGGAGCTTAGAATTTATTAAAATGTACAAAACATTTTGATTACATTTCCATCTTTAGAAGAATGGTTAAACTATTCTATATTCATAATTTGGATGGTGCAACTAGGCTGTTAAAAAAACGTGTGTGTATGCAAAAAAAGAAAAAATATGTATTTCTGTAGATAAGTGTCTTAGTTATCTAGTGCTGCTATAACAGAAATACCACAAGCAGAAGGCTTTAACAAAGAGAAATTTATTCTCTCACAGTCTAAGAGACTAAAAGTCCGAATTCAGGGTGTCAGCTCCAGGGGAAGGCTTTCTCTCTGTTGGCTCTAGGGGAAGGTCCTTGTCATTAATCTTCCCCAGTTGAGGAGCTTCTCAGAGCAGGGACCCCAAGTCCAAAGGACATGCTATTCTCCTGGCTCTTGCTTCTTGGTGGTATGAGTTTCCCACATCTCTCTGCAGGCTTCTCTCTTATATCTCAAAAGAGATTGGCTTAAAACACAATCTAATCTTGTAGATTGAGTCCCGCCTCATTAACATAACTGCCACTAATCGTACCTCATTAACATCATAGAGAAGATTTACAATACATAGGAAAATCACATCAGATGACAAAATGGTGGACAACCACACAATACTGGGAATCATAGCCTAGACAAGTTAACGCATTTTTTTTATTGTACTTTAGATGAAGGTTTACAGAATAGTTTCTCATTAAACAGTTAGTACATATATTGTTTTATGACAATGGTTAACAAAATCATGACATGTCAACACTCTCCCTTCTCAACCTTGGGTTCCCTATTACCAGCTTTCCTGTCCCCTCCTGCCTTCTAGTCCTTGTCCCTGGACTGTTGTGTTCCATAGTCTCGT